TCAGATGGGAATCCCATCTGATTGGTGTTGGGGAATCCCACCACCTGCTCCATGCATCACCCCAAGAAGTAAATCATGACAGTTGGACAAAGTTTCCTCTCTATTTTTATTTTTTATTTTTTTGCTTCATTCATTAAATTCATATAAATTTAATCCAATAAAGAACTTTTATCTCCACCTCCAAGCCTGGATCCACTCTCAGTCACTTCATCCCAGTCAAGGCTGATGAAGAAATTAAGGTCAAGGAAATTATAGTCACTATCTACTCAATAGTTAAGCATTTAATAAATCATGTTAATTGTTATATTAATTTCAAATCATAATAAAAAAAGAGAATAGTTTATTTCATAAACAAAAATGTATCTGTGTTTAACTTCCTCACCGTTTCTTTCTCTGTGCTGCTCTCAGCTGGTATCTGATGAACCGTCCTCCACTCTGTCACTTCAACCAACCAACTTGGCTCGGGGTGAATAAAGGTCCACATAATTTTGAGTCACTATCTACTAAATTGTCAAGTATTTTATTGACTAATATTTTGTTTTTACAGTAAATAAAAAAATTACAATTTAAATAAAAAGAGAATGGATTAATTTTGTGGACAACTGATGTGTATTTTTAACTTTGAGAGCTTTTCTTTCTCTGTACTGCATCAGCTGCTGAGCTCAGCCTGCATCAGATAAACCAACAGTACCTCTGCAATGGTCACTTTACCTCTGCTAGGGATAGTAAAAGTCAAAGATATGTGGAACCAGTAAACTGTCAACCATCAATGCATTTTAGAATAATAATAAGACAAGCATACTGTTGTAATTATTACAATAGTTTAATCCTATGAATAAATGTTTGCTGTTTCTTTCTCTGTGCTGCACTCGGCTTGTATCAGATAACTCAGCAGCCTGTCTCCAACGGCCACTGCTTATTTAAAAAAAAAAAAAGTCAAGGAAATCTGGTTCTACTGTTCCCTAACTCAACAAGTATTTACTAAGCCATCAAACATGTACAAAATTATTAATATTAGTACATGTTAATCATTTTAAATTAAGTTAGAATTGCTTACCATGTCTTTAGTTTTTTTCTTTTTCTGTCAGGTTGTTTTCTATTTATCATTTTAAACTCCTCTCCTATCTAGAGAAACCAAAAGAAAAACACCGTAGCACTAGCAAACGATTAAAGAACATACTTTTTCATAGAGATTAGGACAGAGCACAAGAATGACAGGATTGAGTGGAAGTTTATAGCTTGGTCTCTAGTCAAACCTGAGCCCATATAAAAAATAAATGTGTAATTAAAGATTAGCTTTGTGCATTTCATTGTAAACCAAAAATGAACCAGCTTTAAAATAATCTTCTTGTTCATGTGTGTCAGGCTTAAACACACACAAAAAAGAAGAGTCTGTTAGTTTATGGAAAACTATTTTAATATATTTTTTTCTGTGACTGAAAAAAGCCGTATGACCTCAGAGTTTACGCTACATCTACCGATACCTGCACAAGACATATGAGGAACATTTTTTATCATCCTGTCTGATTATGCATCGAGAGGCAGACCCAGCAAAACCATAAAATAAAATAAAAAAATGCATTGCCCATGCTGTTAGTGATTCTATTCAATCGTTCAACCTTATTTTTCCTCAATATCTTTCCTAAAACCCATTTAGTACCATCTATGGTTCAATTACTGGTTGCCATCTTCAAAACACCAGGGCAAGAACATGCATGCAGTTAAGTGTTGTAGGAAATAGACCTCCCTGAAAAGAGAAAAGTTGGAAAGAAATAAAAACAGGAAAACATGACCACAGAAGCAAATCCACTCAGACCTGGTCTCCAAATTCAATTCTGAAGCAAAAACTGTATCAGTAGATCCACAAGTCCACCACACTTTTCAGATGTTTTTCTTTTTTTTTCTAATCCTTGACTTTATAAACCATGTATCCCATATAATTGTCAATCTATTGGAAAAAAAAAAGGAATACACTGAAATATGTGGTTATTTACTTTCTTACATTTGTTACACTCCTGCACTGGACTTTCTTTTTTCTCTCGAGTTGAATGTCTGAATGTTTTAGCACTTTGAATTCTCTCGTTACTGAAATCTGTACATACAAAGTTTCAAAAAGGAACATTTTTCATTTTCATATTGTTTTCTTGTAAGCTAACAAGTGAACCATTCTTTATAATAAATCCCTCTAGTCAATATGTCATCACCAACAGTTTACTTCATTAGGATGAAAAAGGTGATTGGGCAGTTTAGCTGAAATGTTAATTTAGTAGATTTCTTTTATTACCTCAGAGGCAGGACTTTGATTAGACCCTAACCTGCTAATGACCACACAGCAAACTTCCTTCTGCTTTATCTAATGTAAGTTTTTTGCATCAGTGAAATAAGAACATGTTTAGTTTACGGTCACGGATGTACTTGCAGCCAGACCCGAGCCATACAGGACACAAACTTTCATCTCTGTTACCTTCTCCCTTTTGCAAGTAAGTTATTTTTTAAAAAAGTAGTTAACAGTCTTTTTTTTTTTTTTTGCTCGTCAATATGTGATCGCAGTAAAGTCAGAAACACATGCTAACAAAGTATTTTTTTTCTCTCTACTAAAATGTACGATCTTTCAAATTCATCTATGTTGTGAATTCGTACTGTTAAATTCTGTGCTGTGTAATCGAAAAGATAGTGACCCAAAAAAAAAACAACAAAAAAAAACAACAAAAACCCTGCAAGACATGTTTTTGACAACCTTGATTTGAGTTTTAACTCTGTCTGCTAGGAAGGGTCCAGTGAACATTTTAGTTTATTTTCAATTGCATCTGTTTGACTTTCCACAAAGAAAATTTTTGTAGTCCTCAACTTGATGAAGTGTGGAAATAAGTTAAGCATGAAAATCAAGGAATGTTCAAACTGTTTAAATCATGATTTCAGCAAATGGTCTTCATTATGAAAAAAAATATATATTTTTTTCTTTCAATGTTTGTTGCACAAATTCACATACTATCTGTTCACTAATGTTCACCAACAGACAGTTCACCTCTTGTAATTGATAAGCTTATAAATGATCAATGTTATCCTTTCAGTTCCCTCCCAGTGAGGAGGTGCTTCACTGTGAGGGAACTGTCAGTCTCAAGCAGAAGATGTTAAATGATTAGCAATGTTTTATAGGTTGACGAAAGCAAAGATTGGTATTTTTTGGTAACATCAAAAGTTCATTTTTGAGGCAAACAGAAAATCCAGCTTATTGTAGTTTACTATAAACTTGGACTGAAATCCCCCTTGACAAATTTGGAAAAAAAAAATTCAGCTAAAGTGGGTGGTGCTTTAAGGCACAGAGTGACTCAGCCAAGTGTTGGGAGTTAAGCAAGGCTGTAGTAAGCGTTGTTATCAACTCGGCACTTTATTGTTATAGTTTTCTCCAAGTAGCTAGCGTTTGGAGAAAACCTCAACATGTGCAAAACTGAGAAACTCCATCGATCAACCAGCTGGCATTTTATGACGCAGATTTAACAGGTGTTTGTGTGCGATAAGCATTTTATGACGCAAATAAACAGATGTTTGTGTGCGATAACATCGATTTTGATTTGGGCGTGGCACTTTAATCCATCAAACTCGATTAATTAAAATTTGACATAAGCTTGTACCCTATATTTTTGCGGTCTTTTTGTGATAAGTAAAAATTACATTAGAATGTAATTTAAAAGCTAATTTCAGCTATTCAATTAAAGTAGACCACATAGATTTGTTGCAGAGAGAAAAAAATGAAACCTTATTTCCTCCAATGTTGATGTCTGTGGCTTATGGCAATTAAAACTCTAAATTTAGTTATTGAAACGTAGAATATCCTTAAAAAGAAGAATTTATAAAGCAGAAATGTTGAAATTCTTTATAGGATTGTGAAGCAACTCCTATTAAAATTTGTTGGGGGTTTATTAAAAGGCATAGTCTGCAGCTGGAATTAATGTTTCAAGAGGCATCACACACAGATATTCAGGATCATATGGGCTTGCTGTCAAATTCTTTGTCCCTCCTCACCCAGAGCCAATGTCAGAATTGTTTTAGCTAGGCTAAGAAAGAATAAATGGAGTGTTGTTATTTGGTTCAAAATCTTCTTTTCACATATGTTTTTTTTTCTTTTTTGTGGGGGATAGCGGGGGATCTGTATCTCAGAGTCCAGTATGAGGTGATTATGGGAACCATGCCATCTGCTGGTGTTTGTGCGCTATGTTATTTTGGCACATTTGAAGCTACCCTCTGCTGAAAAGCTTTCTTGAAATACTGATTTCAATTTTCAGCTAGACTTGGCATCATTTACTACCTATACTATGACCACAGTATAACTGCGCTTGATTGGCCTAAACTAAATAGTAAATATGTAAAACATAAATACGTAGAATCTATGGAGTATCATTCAAAGAAACAAAGAGTCACCAGACGTCAATTAGTTGAATTATAAAACTCCAGTCCTGGAGGGTCACTGCCCTGCAACTTTTATATGTGCCTCTGCTGCGCCACAACTGTATAGAATAATTAGGTCATTAGCAAGGCTCTAGAGAACTTCTCTACACAAGAAGGGGGTAGTTACGCCATTTAATTCTAGTGTTTTGTATATATGGCACACCTAAAAACTGCAGGACAATGGCCCCCGAGGACAGTAGTTTGACACCCCTGATCTAATCAGAGAAATAAACAAAAAGCAAACAATAGGTGGCGATAGAGTTCAAGAGAATTAGTTTGTTTTATAGACGTCAGGGTCGCAGCAAACGGTAACTACCAATCAGAACTCCGCATTTGTTCTCGATACCGTGGCAACAGCCAATATTAACGGCAGCGTCTCGAATGAGCCAATCACAGAAGCGAGGCGTGGGATTTAAATCGTGTGGCGTCTTCTGCACGAGATTCAAATTTCAGACGGAGACGAGACCTAGCGACAATTCCACGTTTTTCCCTGCAAGCACAGTTTGTATGTTTGTTTTTAATCTGTAAATCCGATAATGGATACGTTTACGTTGTGTTTTCGATCATACGGCGATTCTGTTTGGACATGTTTGTTTTGAACAGGCTAATTATGTTAAATTCCTTTCGTGTTTTTATGTGGGGCCACAAATGTATCAAAACTACATGTAACCTGGTAGATTGAGGGGAGGGGGATAAATATTTGTTTCTTTAAGTGTCCTCTTGACTCAAGCTGATCCAGCGTTGACAGTTTTGGCTAGCATTAGCATGGGATCGCCATGTATCAAATGTAAAACGAAGCTCAGGTTACTAGCATGTATAATATCGACATTTTCTTTTTGGTTCACGCTCAGGAATATCAAATCCTGGCTCAAATGGCGCAATTTGGATTTGAGAACGACATCCACAACATCCTGAAGCTCGACATGCCAATTACAAACGCTCCCATGGCGAGGTGGCAGAGAAAAGCCAGCTCATCCAACACGTCCGCCCTGAACACGTTGTCGCCTGGAAAATCTGCTAATATTTCGCTAAGTTCATCTAAAACTCCAACCAAAACACCAGGTAATTGAAGCATTGTTTTTATTTTTGTGCGGAGTTTAAAAGAAAATGTCAATGAGGGCGTTTGTAAATGTGTGCCTAATTTCCTCAGGTAAAAACAAGAAAACCCCATCAAAGATGGGAGGCGATCGCTTCATACCCACAAGGAATAATAAACAGATGGACGTGGCAAATTTCCTGCTTACAAAAGAAAATGAACCAGCTGATGCAAACCCTGCTTTGTCAATAGTAAGTAGTCTGACAGATTTCCTTTTAAAACTTGAAGTGGAGTCTAGGGTTTTATTGTTCACCAATTTCCGTATTTATAGGAAAGCCAGAAAGCTTGGTCTGTGACACTGAACGGATACAACATTGAAGATGCAAAGATCCTGCACCTAGGAGGGAAGCCACTGAATGCACCAGAAGGTAACTGCATGCAAGCTTGGATTTTTAAAGCAATTAAATTTTACATAGTTTAATTTCTATTATTTTTTTATTAAGGCTATCAAAACAACTTGAAAGTCCTCTACAGTCAAGTTTCGACACCCGCCTCTCTCAAAAAGACCAGATACATATCTTCTACTCCTGACAAAATCTTAGATGCTCCAGGTCTTCGAAATGATTTCTGTAAGAATGCCTATTGCATCTTTCCACAAAAACACAAATCATCCTTTTATGTCTGGCATATGTTAGTCTCCCCACCCTCTCTCTTCCAGATTTAAATCTGCTTGACTGGAGCAGTCGAAATGTCATCGCTGTGGCACTTGACAATAGTGTGTACCTCTGGGATGCCTCACAAGGAGACATCACTCTACTTGTGAAGATGGAGCGTGAGGAGGACTATATCTGCTCGCTGTCCTGGACCAAAGAGGGAAGCTACCTGGCTGTTGGAACCAGTGATTGCAAAGTTCAGGTAAGTGTTGCCATGGATGTGCATTCTAGGCAACGTGCTTGTCGGCACATGGATCAATGTGTGCATTTTTCCTTTCAGTTGTGGGACGTTGAAAATCAGAAACGCCTGCGCAGCATGACTAGCCACACAGCAAGAGTTAGTTCTCTGAGTTGGAACGATTATATTCTCTCTAGGTATAGTAGCTCTGATACTTGAGCGAACCTAAATTGGCCAATTATCTAGAAAAATACCTGAAGTAACTCCATTTCCTTCTGTATTCATTTTTTTTTTTTTTTCTGTCTTCTCTCAGTGGCTCCAGGTCAGGACACATCCACCACCATGATGTGAGGGTGGCAAACCACCACATCTCTACACTTGCTGGTCATTCACAGGAGGTGTGTGGCCTCAAGTGGTCACCTGATGGGCGATACTTGGCTAGTGGCGGCAATGACAACTTGGTGTGTTTGTGGCCCCGCGTGCAGGAGGGAAGTTCCAATAGTGATGGCCAGTTAATCCGTCACTTGAGTGAACATCAGGGAGCTGTCAAGGTGAGGCTCTTCTCTGCACAGTATACTCTAAACATTCTTAAAACATCACTGGTATGCAACTTTCATACAAGCAACACCTTGTAGAAGTATTATCCCTTAAACTCTAGGATTTTGTCATGCATCAAAATTTTATGTTGACATGATATTGCATAATTTCTACAACCCCCCACCCCAAGAGCTATATAGCTCCATGTTACTCTGGTGCTGTACTATTCCACATCAACTTTTCAGATTCATTTAACATCAACTTTGGTTCTATTAAACACATTCTTTGACATGAATAGTTCTGCAAGCTATTAAATGTGTATTTCTTGTCTTGAGCTGTTGACTTCTTTACTGAAGTATTGTCATGCATTTCCATTAAAGGCTTTGGCCTGGTGCCCATGGCAGTCGAATATTCTTGCCTCTGGCGGCGGCACAAGTGACCGCCACATTCGCATCTGGAATGTCAACTCTGGCTCTTGTGTCAGTTCTCTTGACACTCAGTCGCAGGTAACTGTGCGTCTCTAAATGTTTCAATGTGCTGTTTAATCGTGCTTTTCCTAAGTGTACAATCTGTTTCCTAAAATTTCAGATCTCATCACTTGTGTTTGCACCCAACTACAAAGAATTGGTCTCTGCACATGGCTTTGCCCATCACAATGTTGTCATTTGGAAGTATCCCTCCCTCTGCAAGGTTTCGGAACTTAACGGTAAGTGAGAAATTTGACTTTACCCATGTCTGGCAACAGGTGGACAACCCTAAATGCATAAACTCTAAAACTGTACTTGATCTCGATCAGTCCATTTGTGACGGGTGTTGCGGTTTTGGTATTCTCTTACTTTCCATCCTGGCATTTAGTAAAAGTAATCTGCTCTAGAAGCCTAAGCAACTTATTGCAACATGCTTCATTTGAAAAGGGACATGACCGTTTCTATACAAATTTGCTGATGCTTTCTTGTAATCATATTATCCAAGGAGCATTTCTGACACTTTCTACTGGAGCAGTGTTTGAAAGAAATGTTGACTGACCATAAAGAAATTTGCTCACAATCTTCTTGCATAACTTTTTTTATTTTTTTATTTTAGGCCATGACGGAAGAGTTCTCAGTTTGGTTTTGAGCCCAGACAATGCAACTGTAGCAACTGTTGCTGGAGATGAAACTATTCGTCTATGGAAGTCCTTCGAAATGGATCCTGTAAAGAAGAAGGCTAAGGAGAGGCTGGTCAACTCAGCTAGCAGCGTCATTCATCAGTCAATCAGATAACTTCCCTTGTTTGTTCTTTTATGTCAGTTATTTTTGATTATGCAATTGTTTAAACTGAAATAAAGCTTTCCACCCTGTTGCTATTATAGGGGGTCTTTATGGGTTTTTACTATGTGCAATTCAGAGAATTGGTAAAGTGTGTGGGAGCAGGGAATTGTTTAGCTTTTACTTGTTTTATTGGCATGTGCCTTGTAATTACTGAACTTTGGTTTTAATGAACTATATTTATCAAATGTGTGTGATGCATATTTTTCTGGATTCACTTGTGACTGCTTACGATCTTTACTTGGGTTTAATAAACTGCATATTGCCAGCTATGCCAGTTTGTGTAAATCTGAGGACCCATGTTCTCATCTTTAGTGAGCACACGGAAGGAGAACTGAATCTTTTATTTTGTCCCCCGTATCTAAAATGTAAATGTGGAGTTCTTTGCTGAAATGAGATACTTTGCAATTAAACTTTTTTTTTTTTTTTTGTAAACAAAGGGGTGGGTGGATTGGGACCATCTAAGGGGATATTAATCTATTTTCTTTCAGTTGATGTCTGTGTAACGTTTGGCCTTATGAACTGCCACTAGATGGCTCTATATATCTACGTGAGACCGAGGTAAACCACTGAAAGTGCTTGAAGGTTTAGACTGGAGGATATTTTTAACATTTACTCATTTTAGAATAAAAGTAGTGTACATTATATTGAGAATGACTGACCAAAAACATGTGGTACATATTGACTCAACATTGTCTAACTTATTTTGATCTAAATTAATGTGGCATTTATAGGCACCTGACACTAAAATGACAATTCAGACATGTTGGAACAGGAAAATAAAATGGGGAAACGGACTGGAAAATGTAGGTGTCAATTTATAAGATCAAAACTAATTTACTAGCTCTTGTATTTCAGTTCAGAAATGCATTACATTGAGCTAACTTTGCAATAATTGCAAAAGTAATTGGTTTAATCTCAACTTTCTGTGCAGATTATTTCTTGGAGCACACCAGGACAGAAACTTAAACTTCAATAAAGAAATATTTTCTTTAACAAAGTGCAGATTTCCACAATAAAATTAAAATGGTGTATTTGAAGACAAGCTTTCAATGTATCAGTTTTAAGAAAATCTTTAGCAGGAAGGTACTGCCAATAAGACTGGTGTGGAGAGCACAATCTCTTAGGATAGCAACATCAGAGCCAATCAAAAACCTAGTTGTGTTCTGGAAACAACTGTTTACTACTTATATTGAATCTCAGTATCTGTCAGATTAAGTTAATTCTATGAAATCCAACCAGAACCCCGTAATTCTATTTTTTTTTTACATTGTTTTTGTTCCTTTGATTGTAAGGTATGTAGAACAAAAGATAATTTCTGTACACTTAACACCCTCTATCCCATTTTTGTCCCATTGAGTTCCATTATAACCACATACAGCTTTTATTTTTTGCAGTCTGTTGATACTGCATGTGTCCACCTTGAGATAAATTAATATACATAATGGAATGAGCTGATTTTATATCTGCTTCCTTCTTTTCTTGTCAGGTTGTCACTAATGTGGAAGGTTTTGACCGATCACGAACGCTAACTTTTGTCAACATAAGACTGTGTGGCGCGTATTTATCTTACTGAAGTTGGTTTGACTCGCTGTTCAAAGCTGAAAAGTTTAAACGTCTTGGTAGAAAATGTTTGAGTTGATACAAATGAAAGAGTAAAATTTGTTTTGTAATAATAAAGCCCCTCTCAGTGTTATTTCCCTTCTACTACTTTCAAATTAAGTATAGACACTCAGGACATCCGGCTTCAAGAATTTATTCACTGATAAGATTTGCTCGATGTACATATGGCCTGTTTTTCATCCTGTTTAAAAGACTTTAATTTTCCCCCAAAAAATGAATTGTGTGTCATACTGTAGTTTCAAGGTTTTGTTATGAAACCACATTTAAGCAGTTATGATTAGTGAGGTTTCTAGGATTCCAAAAGTGCCAGAGTTATTTTGTTTTCCCCGGGAAATTCTGCTTAAAATAGTTTTCTCAAAAATATATATTTGTTATTGTTTAGAAATCTTTTTCACAGTGTGTGTGTTTGTCAAATGCATTGCTTTAATGTGGAGCTGCAGTACAGCCTGTGTACAGTAATGGTTTAAATTTAGCTTTAAATTATGTCGTCACTCATCAGATTTCATTTGAGATTTTAATTTCAAAACAAGTAGACAGGTCTGTATGTTTTATGTTTAGCCGTATTTTGATTATAGATAGAATCCTTGCTGATTCTGTGCGATTTGGAAACAATTCTGGAACAATTATGTCCTTGAGCTATTGGTTCAGCAATGATGCACCGGATAAAGTTTGAGTCTCAAGGGTAGAAACAGATTTTTTCCCACTTTTGGTATATTTTATTTCCACTGAAGTCAAAAGCTTAGATGTAGAACTTTGTATTTTTATGACCGTAACAGCTGCAATGAAAAAAAAAGTAAAAAAATAACCCACAATCATAAGTAGGTTTATTTTTACAGCCGTTTGCACTAATCATTAAAGCCTAAAAAAGATTTAATTGATGTCATGCCCTGTGTGCCAAGAGACCGATCAATACACGATCTCAAAAAAAGTGAAGGACATATATAACAACGTATGTGTCACTATTAAATGGCAAAAAAAAAAATCAATACTGTAATATACAGTATAATATTTCCATAGTTCTTCATAAAAAAAGAGACGTGGCCCGTTGCTCACTGAGTGCACATAATCACTGCTTTCTAAAGGAAACAGACCTTTATCTAAATTTAGTTTTATTTCAAAAGATAAATAAAAAAGGAGAAAAAAACCTAAATATTTGACATTTACAATGAAACACTTTCGGATAAAGGTCATAATATTTACACGTGTTTAGTGGAAACACTGCCATCCTCCCAAGCAACAAAAGGCCACGTTAGCCGAACAGTGCTGCAGGTCAAGCCTGAGTTAAAGAATACTATCAGTGACAAAAATGAGCACCAATTTCCTATTCAGTGTTCATCACAGTAAACAGCTTCTGCAACAACTCACAAGGTGTTGCATTCAGAGATCACTGGCAAAAACAGTCTGCCAATCATATCCCACAGGGGGTAAATATTTAATAAAATTAGATTATGTACAAATTATGTAGTGTAGAGGTAGCATATTGAACTCTTGTGCTCAAATATGCTACTAAATATAGATACGTGGAATATTTGAAGTGCTAATATCTATGAACTCTTTATGCCTCCTTCCCCCCCAGACTCACTTTAAATTTCCTTCACTTTCCCCATGACTATATTTCCATTTTCACAGAGGTGAGCATGCCCATTCGTATGGGGTTTGCCATTCATCACAATGTGTCCGTTGGTGGAGCCGTTCTGGTTCGGCTTGTGGTCTGCCACTGGAAGACGGTTGCCCTTTATGTAAGCCTGCACCCAGAAGTTGGAGAAGAGGAGGAAGAAGAAGACGCCGTACATCCAGATCAGATGGATCCACAGCGGCATCTGATAGTCGCACTTCTCCATGAAGTAATACTGGCTAATGTGAATAGCAATCAGGACAAACTGGGTCTGGAAAGCAAAGGGGGAAACGCGCGTCAAAAACGGGCTGAACGGTACGACATGCGTCGAGTTCAGTAAGCTGTGTAAAGCTAAAACGTACCAGCTGGATGGCCGTCATGTGCTTCTTCCACCACAGATACTTCTGGAAGCGAGGCCCTGCAGCAGAGAGTCCGTAGTAGGTGTACATGATGACATGGACTGTTGCATTCACCATCGCATGGAACGATCCCATTCCTGCAGCTTTGGGAAGGGAAAAGCATCCATTTGAGTTGGTTAATTTTATGAAAAACGGTTTTGTTCTTCCACAAAGAATTTCATTGTCTTTGGGAATTGACTTGTACAACAATGGAAACCAATGTTTCCGACCGGTCAGTGTGCAAAGTGTGTGTCCTGGGTCTGCGGCACTCACCAGGCGTCAGCGCAACACCCCACCACCAAGACCAGGGCATGAAGGAGTGATGGAAGACGTGGAGAAACGTGATCTGGCTCTGCTTCTTCCTCAGCACAAAGAATACCTTGCGGGAAGAAAAAGGGAGTATGCTCCATCAGACGCAAATTACGTTGCACATATGGATTTTCTGTGCATGCTAAAAGTGAGATAGAGGAAATGGGTGAGGGGATGTCCTTACTGTGTCGAGGAGTTCCACGAACTTTGAAAAGTAAAACAGCCAAGCGACTCGGACCATCTGCAGGAAAGAAGGTTGTTGCTGCATGAGTCAAATATCTGTGACATGTTGCTAATCAGACTCAATATTACTTGTCACATGAGTGTTTTTAAACAATATAAAAACATAATTCAGCAATTTTTTGGTCGGTGTTAAATGGGAATGAACAAATAAAATAAAAAACAGAAAATGCTTTTAGCGCTAGTTGCTTTGAATTTGAAATAAAAATGATCCGAGTCTTAGGGTCCGTTCATTCTGTCTGGAATAATTTGCTCCTACAGTGGGAAGCCATTTTATCTTAGTGTCTCATAAATCTGACCCTCTACCCTAGACTAATTCAGGTTATACTGGCATAATAGTTAAGCGTGGTTTTGGGAATGAAATGTAGCAGAAACACAGACAGATCTGCTCGTTTTTACCAAAATCATAAAAACACGATTGCATCTTTTTATTGATGCTCAGGGCTAATAAAGCCAAACCTTCACAGTTTAGGTCTTAAACATTTTCTAATCTTTTTATGTTGTATATTATTTTTAACACCAATTTATTTTTCTCCCCAAATTTGTTTAGATTCATCTGTTAGACTCCAGCAAAGAATGAAAACAGCTTAATTTTGTTTAGATTTTTATTAAAAAATCTCATCATTGTAACCCAGATATACGATTGTCACATGGTACAACAGCAAATTTTTTTTGTCACTTTTGTACTCTTCTACATTTTCATGGATAGCTAAGGCTAGCCACGATTTGGGGGCTAAGCGTGCGACAACAATGCAATGACTTACCCTGAGAGCTTGTGGGCTGGTGGTGACATCAATAAGATCACATTTCCATGTGAAGGTAGTGGCCCATCCAGACATCATGAACTAAATTTGCAAGAAAATATCAGCAGACAGTCATTAACCAACTGATCTCTCTCATTTCAGATAGCAGATCACAATTTTCTTCCCTCTCTTTTTTCTTTTACCTCATACACCATGTAGGCATTTAGCAAAACCATGCTGAGGTTGTAAATGATCATGGCTCGGTGGAGGCCGAACGGCTTGCGGTTGGCCATCATGCGTGGGCCGACGTACACAGAGAAAAAGACATAGGCCAGGAGGATGCTGGTCATCTGCAATGGGCTCTGCATCAGAGGGTAATCCTTCACTCTGGCGTCTGGGAAAAAAAA